ATTAGAGTTTTATTAAGCTTAAAAAGTTGGTTCAAACAAGGGAAATTATCAACTAAAAAACTAATTAACTTCATAGTCTTCACAATTTTTATTTTTTTTATTATTATTAATATATAAGGGAGGGTCAGGTATTCTGGCGCGGAGGGTATTGTAGCATACTCATATTTTTTTGCAATTTCTTGTAATACAGTGATCTGAATTAAATAATTTTAGCACCATTCGATTTATCTTATCAAGACGAATCAATATCATTCTATTCTGATCACTGGAACGCAAGAAGTAAAATAAAGTAATAAAATATTATAGTAATTTGTTAATTTCTCTTATGTATTTTCCTTTTTGGGAAATTATACAATATAGCTAATAATTAATAACTTTCAACAAGTTAATAATCCAAGATGCTAAATGAGAGCTAAAAACTCTTCAGAACTATAAAAGCATTGAGTTTTCACTTATAATTCGACAATTCGCTCGAAAAACTTGTATTTATTGCATAAACTTATATTTAATTTATAAATAAAGTAGAACTCTTTGCCTATTGTTATAAGGAATTATATCTTGAAATTCTTTGTTTTTTTCTTTTAACAGGACTTACCAGGCCACACAAATTTACATAATCCTGATAACTTGTAAAGCTCGTTGCTTTGTGGTATTGATTCAAAGTTTCATTAGAAACAAGTTTTTTTAAAAGCACTGGGTAATTATTGATAATATATAATAATAGTAAAATGATTAATAAATATTTCAATGATAATAAGCAGTTAAACAGATAATGACTCAACAGATAACAGATTAACTAATAAACTAAACAATTAAATAATTAAATAATTAATAAATGGCTAAACGATTATTAATCGTGTAGCTTATAGTTAAACGATATGATTAACCGTTAGCACAATTTTTTACAGTTCTAACCATAGTTATTTAGATATTTTCTAAAGAAAACAATCACGATCATAATTGTAGTATAAACAATCGTAATCATAATTGTAGTGTGTTCTAGCTATTTGTAGCACCTAAATAATACTATTTTAGCAAATTTCTGTAAATAGCTAGTTAGAGCGATATTGCTTTTGTGTGAATTTCTGTTTTCGTAATAACTGATTTTTTTCTTATATTTATTAGACAATTAACAGACTCATGCATTAATTATAAATATTTAAGTTTTTATTGTTTTTTAAATTTTGCTAGTTTTACTAGCTATATCAGACATTTTTTTAATTGGACATTGCTACAAACAAAAGATATTAAAAAATCTCTGCAATCTTGATCGTGATTCGACAAATTGTATATGAAGACAATCACGATCACGATCGCAAGGATAAATAATCATAACTATGGCATGATCATTATTGTATACAAACCAAACAATTACAATCATAATCATGATTGAGACAAACAAAATTATGATTTAAGAATAGAGTATTTGTTTATTATTTGTTTGCGCATAGCATGAAAATAAACCAATCAAAATTTAATGATCTGCAAAATTAACCAATTATAATTGTATATTTGGTTGTACATGCATATTTATTTGCGCATTGCATAAAAAAAATATGTAAACAAATACTCTATCCTTAAAAAAAATCAATCACGATCGTGATTGTAATCAGAGTTGTATAAATTGCCTCAAATTCTACAATTAAAAAAAAAAAAAAACTTAAAAAAATTAAAAAGTAAAATAAAAAATAAAATTAAATCAGAATGAGCTTATCCAAGTCTAAAATTGTGTTGAAGTCTAAAATTGCATCTAAATCCAAGTCCAACATTGCATCAAAGTCTAAAATTGCATCCAAATCCAAGCCTAAAACCATAACAGAACCTACTATAACTAAATCAAAGCCTCAATGAAATTGAACTATACATGTAAAAACTATTGAGTCTGCTCTTAAAGCACTTTCTAGTCTTGTACCACCTAGCATTCGAGCGGCTACATCAAAATTTGGAGTTGCAGCAACGACTTTAAAGCGTGTAGTTAAGAATAATGGCTTGCCCAACCGTCCTGACCCTGCAATACTCTTAAGCGCTCATGAAGAACAACAATTAGTAGGCTATTGTAAAAATATGCAAAAGTTAGGGTTTGGTCTTACAAAGGCGGGTATCAATAACTGTATGATGAATATTGTAAGTGATTATTCTTTTAAAGATAATAAACCTGGTAAGGCCTGGTAGAAACATTTCATGAGAGACCACCCTGATTTGTCTTTTTGTGTACCTCAAGCCTTGTCAGAAGCACGCGCACAGAAAGCCAACCCAACTATCATTAAAGACTATTTCGATAAGCTTAACAAAATAATTGAAGAACACTCACTTACCCTGGACAGAATTTGGAATATGGATGAAACCAGTTTTATCATATCCCTTAAGGTACAAAAATACCTATGATCATATTTCAGCTATTCTGATGATTTTAGCTGCCGGCAGCTACATACCGCCCTTAATTATTTACAAGAGCATCTGCACAATTCCCAATTTACTAGACGGTGCTCCAGCTGGTACCGTTATAGGCTTTACCGATTTGGGTATATGAGAAAGAACCTATTTCAAATATATATTGAGCATTTTATAAATTCTATTTCTCCTTGTCGCCCAGTTCTTTTGATGCTTGATGGACACAAAAGTCATATAAATTATACGAGCGTTAATTTTTGTTACAAAAACAGGATTCTTTTATACGCCCTTTCCCATATACAACCCATATCCTACAACTATCCGAACTCTCTTTTGCTATACTTAAAACCGAATATAGTAAAGCTTATGGCAAGCTATATAATGAAAATAGTAAATTAATAACAAAACACATATTTGCTAAAATATTAGAACAGGCTTTTATAAAAACTTACATACCTGAAATAATTACTAATGCTTATCGAGTTACAGGAATTTGGTCTTTTAATCCTAATGCTATTAGTCCAGATCGTCTTGCTCCCTCTTTATCTACAGAACAAATTGATAATTCACCTTTATCTCAATACTCTGATCAGAAACTGGTTTCAAATATTATACTGTCTTTTCAACTAACTTCTTATTCATCCATATTACTTCCTCAACAAAATTCTACACCATATTCACAAAATCTATATTTGTCTACACTGTCTTTTCAACAAAATTTATATTTCTTTATATCGTCTTCTTAACCAATTAATTATTCCTCCATGTTGTCCTTCCAACCGATTAATTATTCCTCCATATCGTCTTCACAACCAATTCATTACTTCAATATACCGTCTTCTTAGCCAAGTCATTCAAAAGAGATCAAATTATTAAAAGCAAAAATCGATTCTCTAAAAATAGAAAATAATACATTAAAAAAAGAACTCAAAACATTCAAAAATCCTGGTATCTGTTTACTAAAATTGGCTCTTAAGTATCCTACTTCCTGAGTTCCATCAAAAGCCAATGAATCAGAATCCCAACAATTAAAGAAAAGAAAAATTTTTCTCTTTGCTCAACTCCTTACTAATGAAAAATCTCTACAAACATTGAGAGAAATGGAAAAGTTAGCAAAGAACAAGGCAGAAGGTGCAAAACAAAGAAAAGAGGCAGCTGCACAGAAACGAGCCGATCGGGAAGTAAAGAAAGCACAAAAAAGGGCTAAAATAGAACGAAAAAAGGCAGAACGTTTGCATAATAAGAAGAGCAAAAAGAGTTTGATTAACGTTGACGTTAATGCTAGTTAATCTTTGATCATGTGGTCATATATAATGTTCGGATTAGGGTTACTTTTTTGATGTTTTTAATATTGTATTTATATATATATATCAGGAATACAATTTATGCAGTATGTAGATCTATTAATACAATTAATTTGCGTAGTGCGCCATAATACCTCCTGCTAAGAAAAAACATAACAGTTTTTCGATAGTTTTTGGAAGTTCGAAAAACATATTTTTTCTTATATTACAAGCTTTTTTTTTTTTTACTGATAGGTAGTAAATTGTGTTTTAGTTTATTTCAACAAATCTTAGAAATAAATATGCTTTTCCCGTAAATTTTTACTATTGTCACTCTTAGGTGCGCCAGAATACCCGACCCTCCCTTATGCTGACAAAAATTTCATTGTTATCGTTATCTTTGTTAATGTAAATTAATCTGCCCGTATTGTCGCGAAATAACACGCAGGGGTGAAATTAAGAATTTCGGTCTAAACTAAACTTAATTCGGGCCATTATTCTAAATAACGCTCATGCCCGTTATTTCGCGACAATGCAGGTATATGAAATTTGGTTGTCGCATTTATTACGATTTATTACGTGATAAACTATATACTGAGGTGGAGGTAACCCGCTAGTCGTGTCAATAATTAAAATTCTAGTGTTATTACGATGTAAAGGTACCTTTGTTAAACGTTTTACATTTATATTGCGAGAGAAATTAAAGGCGAATGAAGGCTACTTTTCTATATTATTGATATTACGTGTAGACTCGTCACTATATCACCTGCAATTAGGCGAAATTAGACTTACCCCAATATGGAATGCCCGAGGTTGGCACATGCCTGAAGTTGCATTTTGCCAAAATTAAATACATACGTACGTACCTAAAATAATTTCAGCAAGTATTACTTCAGGTGCAACTCTGGAAGATGCCAAATTCTTTACATAACGGTGAATGTGGGTTTTTAAATGATAAGCGATTAAAAAGAAAGGTATAACCGATTATTCTAGTCATTTTGATTAAAAGCCTACATTCCATTGTGTAAAGAATTCTTTTATTTAAATTTCCTGGTTTTCGTTTGGTAACATTTAAATTAGCCTATTATCTAAAGTTCTTACTGATGTATCCATATGTTTTTGTAAAGATGTAGCGCTGTAGATGTATACTCCGAGTACAAATCACGAGAGGATCTACACGTCAGTACTTTTCTGGGTTTGTATTACAATATTGTGTACAACTCCACCAATCATTACCAACCAAGTTTTTGTTATAAAATTTCAACCACGTCGAACTTATTACCGCTACCGTTAATTACACTTTGATTCGTATACTTAGAATAAAACATGAAAATTAAGGCAAGATTAATTTATGCTTTTGCGATTAGTGTTATTGTAGTGACATTTACTACAAGTCAAGTATTGGAAATTGATGAAGGTAATGAAATATCTATATATTCGAAATTGTTTTTATTATTGAATTGTAAACAAAAAAACTTACAAAAATATATAATTTTCTAATCAGAGTTTGAAAAAAGTACAAAGATTAATAAAATCTTATAGTTCTACTTTGAATCTTATAACTCTTGTTTTAAAATATATGCTAACTTTTTTTGTTTAATAGTAACCTGTGGTTCTGCATTAAAATTAACTCACAGCCCTTCAGGTTATAAATTACATTCGCATTCTATATCTTATGGTATTTCTGAATTATTTCTATTCTCTTATTATTATTATTATTATTATTGTCGCTGTAAACATATCTAATGATTATTTATGTTTTTGTAGGAACTGGTTCTGGCCAACAAAGTGTTACAGGTCTGCCAAGTTCTGATGACCCTGATTCACTTTGGATCGTAAAAGGTACTATTGGTAAGAGCTGTTTACGAGGGTAAGTTAATTAACACATTTATCGTAAAATATTCTTTTTTTTTCTTTGAGCTAATGCAAGTGTTAATTTTTGATTTTTAGTGAAAAAATTAAGTGCGGTGATTTAATCAGATTACAACATGTAGGAACTAAGAAGTTCCTGCATAGTCATTATCATCGATCACCTCTTTCAAATCAACAAGAAGTTAGTGCTTTTGATGGATTGGATTCAGGTATCGATTACTTTATAAAATATTTACCTTTTAATTTATTTAATTCTTATAATTAAAATTCATATACTATATCCACGACTCGTTTTTTCTATTCAGGAGATAATTGGAAATTAGTTTGCATAAACACATCTTCATCATATTGGTTGCGAGAGCAGAAAATTAGATTAATACATGTTGAAACTTCCTCTTACCTATCAGCAAATTCAGAAATGATTTATAATAATCCTATTCATGGACAAATTGAAGTTGCTGCTTCCGGCTCAGGCGACAAGAATACTGAATGGATCGCTCAAGAAGGAATTTATTTTGCGGAAAGAGAAAATTTTTGATTTTAATTTATATTTAATAGAATTAATTTTATTAATGAAATAATGTCTCTTGAATTTTGGTTTTTATTTCACAAAAATGCATGAATTACTATTAATTTTTTATTAAATACAAAATTACGTCTGCGACGTGATAAAAAGTTTTGGATCAAATATTCTTTGGCATATAATAGTGATTTTAACTTAGTGTTCGGACCGAACCTAGGAGCACTACATGCAAGTTAATAGACATCAATATCAATACAATAAAATAAATTCACGAAATACACATGCAAAAGTAAACTGATTATTTATAGACACAAATTAAAGAATAGGTCAAG